TATGACTACCTTCTGTGAAAATTCTTCACACAACATTTCAAGATCTTTTTGAAGTTGTTCAACTTGTTGTTCAAGAGTTGCATTTCGTTCAAGGGTTTCCACCCTATCAGACTCTAATTGTTTAGTTTTCTTTTCTAAAGCTAAAACTTGATCCCTATGGAACTTGGCTTCATTGTGAGCCTGTTTAAGTTGGTTAGTAAGATCTTCAATCATAGTATCATCAACATTTTCATAACTTTGGATAACTGAATCCCATTGTGCATCTTCAAGATCTTTTTGCAATTGATCACACCTATCATTAAGTGATTCAATTTCTTTATTTGCCTTTTTAAGTTTAGATTTTTCTTCAACACTACATGCTTCAGTTTCTTTGAGTTTAGTTTCCAAAAGTTTAACCTGCTCTATGTATTTTGTTTCTGAAGCTTTTATTTTTGCAAGTTCAGCATTAAACATTTTTAAATCTTGTTGTAATATATCTTTATTATTATTTGTATCCTGTAACCTGGAAGTTACTTCGGCGAGTTTTACTTCCAATTCATTTCCATGTCTGGCAACATCTGCTTCGGACACCTTTGATGTTTGAAGTTCTGATTGTGTTTTTTGAATTACAACTTCTAATTCTGAGATAAGGACATCAAGATTAGTAATATTTTCTTCTTTATCCGTTAGAATATTAAGAGTATTCTTTAATTTGTTTTCCAACTCATTAATAATATTTGAACGTCTTTCATCCGAAGCCTTAGCATCATGTAATTGTGTACGCACAATTGAAAGTTTTTCTTCGAGTGTTGAAATTGTTTTTTTATTCACGTTGGATGAATCTTTGGCTACAGAAAGTTCTGAATTTAAATTTATTAAAGTACATTCAAGGTTTTTAATGGAATCCATTTTGCTAGACTCTCTTTCTTTAAGTGCCTCAGTTAATTCTTGAATACGTTGGATATTCTGATTGCGTTCTTTGCTCATGAAATTTATTTGAGAATCTAGATCTGCCAAAATCTCATTTTGAGCAGCTATCTCAAGTTTAGCATTCGCCAATTCTGACCTTAAAGTGCTAACATTTTCATTACCAGCAACCCCTGCTAGTTTAAATGTTTCAATTTCAATTTCCAAAGCTCTAATTATTT